GATGTGGGAAGTTTTTGTAGAGAAAAATGTCAGTACCTGGCACATGGTAAGCACTTAATTTATTATGAGAGTCATCAGCAGCAGCATAAAAAACTAACATTTTTTAATATTATATTCAATTATAATTATGTGCCTGCTATTTGAAGTAGAGCTAGCAGCCCTTAAACAAAATTATTTCCCAACTAAAATGCCTTTTGCTTTTTTAGAGAAAAATTTTATCAGTTATGACTTTAAAAACAAGTATTCTTAATAAGTGTGTGCATACCATGTAATTACTTTGATTTGGCCTTTGCACAATAATATTCTCAAAACTTCCCACTGATCTGTTTGGAAGCATCCTCTGTCACAACTTCTAATTACATTAAAAATATCTGACAATTCAAAACTAGTTAATGGCAAGGATGAAGACACATCAGCAACTATACAACGTGCAACAACATAATTTCACAAGGACGTGGAGAATACAGGATGAGGAAAGTGACTGACTTGGCCTTTGTAACTGGTTTTCTGTCCACTATGTTTCTAAGCTTATTAAATAGATCCTTGGATTAATTTCCTAGGCCCTGGGGAAATTGTTTAACTGTTCTTTGAGAAATGTAAGATTTACTCCCTGTCATATTTATGTTTTTCTCATAAAAACATGGCCCCAGAGTGATGTTTAAAATTGGGGTTCATAATCACTTGAACCCGGGAGGCGTAGGTTGCAGTGAGCTGAGATCGCGCCCCTGCACTCCAGCCTGGGTGACAGAGTAAGATTCTATCTAAAAAATAAAATAAATGAATAAATAAAAATAAAAATAGGAATCATAAATCCAGCTCTTCATCAGAAAATACATCAACAACTTATTTTCTTAAGCACAGAGTGAAAAAAAAATTGTTCAATTCCCTCATCACTTTAGTATCTCTCTGGCCCAAGTAGTAAGTTTTATTTAATGATATCTTTCCTGTTTGAGGGAATTTACACAATAATTTTATGTATGTTATTCCATTTCGGAGACACAGAGATGCCATAAACTAGGTGGGATTTTCAAATGTATGATTGTTTTGCTGGAATAAAGACCACCAGGAGAAACATGGATTACACAGCATACAATGATGGTCACGATCCTGTGCTTTTCAAATACAAATGGGAAAATTAAGAAACATCTTTTATCAGAAGTATTCCAGCTACATTTCTTCAGAAAAAGTAGCATTTACTTCAATTGAAAACACTAATTCCAGATATATTTGTAGTCTGTCATTAATCGTTAAAAGGATGCCTTTTGATTATAATACATGTCTACTTATTAAATGTTTGAAATTAGAGACCAAATACTGAATTTTGCCCATGGCTTTAGATGCTATTACAACTGGTTTTTATTGGCATAGCTTTCTTAATGCATTCATGAAACTGCAGTGTATAATTGTCTAGAGATAACATTGCTTGTTAATACTCCAGCAAGTTTTGCCATGTAGACCACACATTTATTAAAAGGATCTTATTCTTTAGTATTCTCTTGACTTCTTACCATCCCAAAGTTTGCCTTCATTTTGATTTGATGTTAGGTATTTATTGACTATTGCAATTGCTAAACAATTTTTTTCACTTTCAGTATTGATTCATGCAAATGCATTGCTGAATTTACAAAAACATTGTGAGTTAGCTAAAATACCAAATCAGCCCTCTTAACTGCTTTGAATATATAATGTTAGCCTAAGATAAAAAGTAGCTTCTGGAGATACTAAAATGGCTAGGTCCTCATAAATGCACATTTGAGAGCAAGAGAAAAAAAGAGACATCCTTCAGTCATATGAATGTCTAAGTTCTTAAGCAATTATCCATTAAAAAACAAAAAATAAAAAATCTGCTGGGGAAAGGATGGAAAAAGACATGTCCAGAGCTTACATATTTGCAGAAAGATTCCCAATTGATACTAGTAAAAAAACTGGTCTCAAATCTGTTTTGATCTGTGTCTTAGATACCATTAGATGTTCTCTGATAGTGGTGTGCAGGTTCCTCAGTTAATGGTTATTTTTCTCAGTTTCATTCTGAATCCTGTCTATTTCAGTATTACAAAATTTAATGCAGGAAAGTTCCCTTAAAAATACAATGAATAGATCATTCATTGACCACCTGATCACCCAGCATCAAACCTGTGCTGTCACCCAGACTCCAGCATTACCCCTCCATTCATAAATATCCGCTCTCCCATTAGTCTTTTCTCCTCCCACTGGTAAATGCACAAACATACATTTTACATCACAGAACTTCCAAACATGTCACCATCTTTTTTGTTTTAGAAATAAACTTTAGTGTGTCAAAGTTTTTTGTGTTTTTTTTGAAACAGAGTTTTGCTCTTGTTACCCAGGCTGAAGTGCAATGGCGCGATCTCGGCTCACTGCAACCTCCGCCTCCTGGGTTCAAGCGATTCTCCTGCCTCAGCCTCTCGAGTAGCTGGGACTACAGGGGCGCACCACCATGCCCAGCTAATTTTTGTATTTTTAGTAGAGATGGGGTTTCACCTTGTTGACCAGGATGGTCTCGATCTCTTGACCTTGTGATCCACCCACCTCAGCCTCCCAAAGTGCTGGGATTATAGGAGTGAACCACTACGCCCGGCCGCGGCGTCAAAGTTTTGAAAACAGTGTGCTTGTTAAGATCAAAGCTGTCACCAAGTGGGCCTGCCTGTTTCTTTGTTCTGTACACTCTTCTAACATGTAAGCAGCCTCTGACTGATTCTGCATTTTGTCGACGTACTACTCTATTTGTTAAGTTTAATGTTGAAGTTAAACAAAAATATTGGGCTTTTTCCCTATGATGCATAAAGTGCATGAACTTCCTTTTTCTTTTGAAAATGTTATAATCATATTTATTTTCATTTTAAAAAGCTAATAAGCATTGGAAGTGCTTCAAAATTTTCCTTTAACCTAGATCCCAAAATAAGAATGTTTAGATTACTGCCAGATAGGTTTAAGCTAGTTATTAGTAAGAACATTTTGGATTTGGAGATAACAGAGTCTAGGGCCCTACAGTCAAAGGAAGTCATACAATCATTTTCCCCAGAGATAAGAAAAAACAGCCAAGGAAATTCAATCTCTTTTCCAGATAATAAAAATGTATCATTCTATTCCTTTCCTAGAAACATTTATACTCATTCTTGACTAAAGGCAGGAGGTCAGATAAAAATCACATCTCAAGGCACCCTTTAGTCTTTTAAAAAAAATATTCAAAGCAAATTGTAATGCAACAAGCTTTAGAATGGCTGCCTATGAAGCACTGAAAGGGAAAGAGAGTTTGCTGCCATCTTTTGGACGTTTGAAATAAAATCGGCAAGATGGGTGCTTCAGCGCCTGTTCCTTTTAGACTGGGCACTAAGATGGTGGAAGCAGGTGCAGTTTACAAGCCTGGCTGTCCCTGACTGGATAAACAGGAAAACTATTTATGGGTTTTAAAGAATAAAGTTGACTTAGTGGTTTGCATGTTAGAAAAGTGTTTTTCAAAGTGTAGTTCACAGCCCACTAGCATCAAAATCACCTGGGTTGTATGTTAGAAAAACAAATTCCTAGGCCCCACACACACCTAGTAAATCAGAATCTCTAAGGTAGGACCATCTCTGAGGTGGGGAAATCTTAATTTTACACCAGGAACAAAAGGTGGAAAGCTATATGTTACAATACTATGAAGGGAATAGTTTGCTCATACTAAAGTGCTGTATATAAAGGAAATCATATTAGTTCATTTAACATAAAATTAAAATTAAAAGTTCTAAGTAATATATTTAGCATTGCTCTTTATTTCAGTAATACTGCCCACAATGAGTTATGACATTTCAGTGGGTATTTCATAATGTATAATTCAAAATCTAGCCCATGTTGGACTTACATGAAGAATTATGATGTGCACCATTTAATAAGCAGTAATAAGTAGTCCAACCACAACCAACAGACACTGAGTGTGAATTAAAAAAACAAAAACAAGAACAAAACTCCAATCCAAATACCTAATTGTGGAAAGACTGGAATGATACCTTAAATTAGTACTTTATATTAGTTCAACCAATTCCTTAGAGATTCTTAACTCTAGAGAATGGTTTTGTGAACATCTCTTTATCAGTCTTAGACTTGCTAAGAGAAAAAAAGAAGTTTTCAGTGCAGAAAGAGACCTAGTTTTGTTTTGTTTTGATGTAATTAAATGGCACAAAAGGAAAGCAAAACTTAATTGTGTTTGACACACAAGCTATTCTGGATTCAGATAAAATTTCCAGAATCTCAGCTTGCTTTGATTTTTTTTTTTATCTTCAAGATGAGTCCTGACTTCTGCTGCTTCTGACTCAGAAGGATTCTAGAAGTACCAGAAAACCCACAAAAATTCCCTGGGTTTGAAAGGCAGCTGGAATATTAAGTTCCTCCCTGTATCAGTGGCTCAGCTTCTTAGAATTGTTTTTCATCACTTGCCCTGAGCTGGGAGTTTGCTCTGTTCAGGCAGAGGTTTCAGTCTTTCTGTTTTCGGAAAGTGATCATGCTCCTCAGGCAAGGGATCAATTACTCTAAAAAGGCCAGGTTGCTGACCCTTTGTCCTAGGACAGTGTGGAAAGGAGGGATAAGGACAGCTGTGAGCTGTGCCCTCCTAGGTCAACCCAACTGTTGCAGGTCTGAAGTGGGGGAGTCTCAGGGATAGGGTTGCCAACTGCTCCACTTTCGGTGCAATAGGCCTATTTAAGCTTCAACTATCCTACCAGGACCTTACTCAGGATACCAACTATCCTATTTAGAGAATATGTTCGGTTTACAAACATTTCTCCAGAAGAGTTCTCTTCGCATTGCTAAGTCCATTACATAATAGTGGTACTTTGAACTGAACATAGTGTCTTTATAATAAAGGCTCAAAGCTGATGTTAAGTTTATTTTATAAAAATATTGAACCAGTCTTTCTGAATCTGGTCTCATCTTTGTCTACCACGAAAACAATGTTAGCACAATGGATGAACACAAAGCAGGAAAAAATGGACAAACAGGCTGAATACAGAGGAAAGTAAACATATAAACTTCAGTAAGAAGGAAAAAGAGAAGAAACAAAGCTCTCTCAATTAGTGACTCCTAGGAATAATAGATCCTTTATGCCAATGTGAGGTTTATAGTGACACTCCTTCTACTTTTTCTATTTTAGTTGTGGTAGGTCTCAAACTGGGATTCATACTAACAGAGAACACAAAATAACTTGTTGAATTGTGTTTTCCTCATTGGAAGTTTTTGAAATACTAGTTATTGTGTATTGAGTGCCCCTTAGAAGAAGAATAATAGCTAGCATGTGTGGAATACTCTGTCTGTGCCAGGCACTGTTTTATATACATAATGCATACTGTTTCACTTAATCTTCATAACAACTTGTGAAGTACACCTATTATTGTCTCCATTTCACAGCTGAGGTACTGAAGCACACAGCTGAGGTACTGAAGCACAGTGCGACTGAATCCTTTGTCAAAAGTCTCCCAACAAGCAGGAGGCAGGCCTGGAACTCAGAGACAGGCAGTTTGGCCCTAGAATCCACACTCTTAACCACTACAAAGGTACTTCTTGTGGGCTCAAGGTTTACACACCTTATGTCATCTAATCGTATGTGAAGTTCATTTTAAAAAGTGTTTACCTTTTGCTTTTCCTAAATTTAAAAAAAAAAGCATGTCTTCTTTTTAATTTAAAAATTGGAAGGAATCTTATTTTCTGCATTATTGTTACTGAAATTTGAAGGTTTCTCTCATCATTGTTCTGTTCTTCCTTTGTTTGCCAGATTTAACTAGCAAAACTCTGGTAATATACAATGCTAGCTGGCTGGAAGCGGTGGGTGTTTGAGGTATTTGGTCTAGAGCATTGTGGGAATTTGTTCAATGGAAACCAGCAAAATGTTGAGCTTCCCTTTGCCATTACTGAGTTCTAATAAGCAAATAGGCTGATAGAGATAAAAACTGCAGCTTTTCCCCATGTACCCTGTTTAAAAATGTCTATTGCTTGAGCTACCAAAGTCTAAGATGTTTCAATATTTCTTACTTTGATTTAGAAGGTTTAGTGTAACTTTGGAGTTATCTCTGAGACATGTAAAATTTACCACTTCTGAGGAGCAGTGCCTTTTGTCTGTGACCTGAATCTTCTTGCAATCAAGGGAGGGAATACAGTCTTGTGATTAGAGGACAGCCATGGAGTGTGACCGGGGTCCTGAGACTTAGCTCTACCATGCTACACAGGTGTCTTAACTTTTCTTTATCTCAGTTTCCTCATCTTAAAGTGGGTTGATAATAATACCACATCAGACTTTCGTCATGTTGTGGTGACGAAAAGAAGTTAACACTTATGCTTAGAGTGGTACCTTAGTATATGGTAAGTCCCCATAACTGTTACCTTATTAGGGCTCTATGATTTTATATTAAAGCAATAAAGTTCTGCAAATGTAATGAGTTTTTACAATTATCCTAGAAGCTCACATCTTCTTTTTTTGACTTTGGTGATGGGATTGTTCAAAAGCTATGTTTAGAATTTATCACTCTAGTCCCTCAGGAGATGTTTTCAAAATAACAATGATGTATAAAAGGAAAAAAAGCCACTGGAAAAAATGTAAGGTTTAAAAATGTCCTTGCTTGGAAGTCTTTGAAGGAAACAACTGTTGAGAAATCTTCCACCAAGGAATCTTTGAGGTGGGAAAGGTTTGCTGCCTCATGCCCTTGACTGCTATCCTGACTGAGATTGGCATCACGACATTCTAAGATTCCAGGGGTACCTACTTTTTAGAGTGTAGTTTGAAATACTGAAAACTTGTGACTCCCTCAGCATTATTCTGTTTAGAATTATTCTTGTTGAAATACCTCAAGTAATTGTTGGTTTAGTAGCAAGCCATGCTGGGTGCTGATTCACTACTTAATAAGAAAGTCCCCTGAATTACATTTAGTTCAAATGGCATAAAGCCAAAGGGAACACTTCCTTTTATGCAGAGACTTTGATTATGCTCTATTTTAAAAAATCGCATTCTTCCCCATTCCCAGCCCATGAACAACACCTATTCATTCCAAAATGAGAAAATAAAAGGATTTTGAGAAGTCATATAAAATTGCTGTCAATTTCATCTTTTTTACTAATAGAACAGATGCTTCTTTCTTAAAGATGGGTTTTCACTTTCAACATGTGTTATAGCATCTGATTTTCTGAGCAATCTTGGGAAATGGAGTCTTTCCTAATATCACTGAATGTGGTCAAAGCCATCTATGAAGCATGGACAATGAGGCTCTTGGTGGATCAGTTTGGGAAATTCACAGTTAAGCAGTCTCAGGGAGGGAAATTCCAGGGTCAGATGAGACTGTGGAAACCATGCAGTAGTGTAGCGAGAGCACAGGTTTGGATGCCAGACGAATATCTAAGTCTAACCCTAATCCGCTGCTTGTAAGCTTAGTGATTGTTGCACAAGTTGTTTAGCTGCTCAGATTCAGATACCTCACCTGTAAAACAGGAATAATACCTTCTTTTTCAGTGTAATTTTGAAGAATATATGAAATCACCATATAATTGGTTAAAAAGCCAGGCTGCAGACTGAATCCAGGGGCCATTACTTAACATTGTATGGTCTTTGGCAAGTTACTCAGCCTCTTTGTGCTTCAGAATCACATCTGTAACCTATAAAATGGATGTATGATCATACCTAGCTCACAAGGACTGCTGATTAAAAGCAGTAATCTATGAAAGATACTCAGCACAATTCAGGGCCCAAAGTTTGTGTTCCGCTAATGTTAGCTATTATCAAAACTTATGTAAGATATTTTCTACATATAGTAGAAACTTAGTATGATGTCTTCTGCCTTTTCTCAGGGCCCACGAGATTATTTGAATCACTGCCACAGCTTCTGTCCCCACCCATATCATCCTGACTTGAACCAAAATACTTGATTCTGGGTTGTTGTGTGGCCTTGGAAACAGATTATTGCACCAAATAAAAATATCAAAGATTCCCTGACTTCTACCATATACCCTGAAGAAAAGACAAATCAAAACACTATGGCTTTTGTTATTTACTTCCAAGAAGAACATTTTTCTGTTCATTCTTAGAGTGTGCTTTTTTTTTTTTTTTTTTTTCAACTCAGGGACAAGTGCAGTCTTTTGATTTTTAAAATTTTTCATGAACAAACCATCAGTAGTCATTACGGAGCCCAAGAAGTAGGAGCTGTAAAAGCAGGATTTCTTCATGTTACCTTTGAATGTTGTTATTTTAAGTATTAACATTATCAGATAGAGAAGGAAAGGTAGGCTGGAAAGTAGGTCCTTGTGATATATTGACTACAGATACCAGATTTACATTTCACCAGTCACAGAGCACACATAATTTAGATAAACATGTCAAGAATGACATAAACAGAGGTAAACATGAGGAGCTTTACATGGGGAACCAAAAAATACAAATTAGAAAAATTATTACTTATATCAATAACAAAAAAATTAATTAAACTCCAGGACTCTTTAGAAGTCTAGCTTTCTGCCCTGTACACTTGAGATGCACTTTATTGGCTGACAAACGTTTGATAAAATCAGAAGTCTGAGAAATGTCTGACAGGATTTGATACTTTAAATTAAATTTCTCTTTATTCAATTGCCTCTGAATAGTGCTGTGATTTCCAAATGCCAGGTAGTTTGGTGTACAAATATACATACCACAGAAACATACAGTTTAAAAAAAATGTAAGAAACTGGCTGTACCTGATAACAAAAAGAAAAAAGGTAATTCTGATTTGAGATCTTCTCCAGAAGAGAGGGTTTCACTGGCATGACGCTCATAGGATGACCTGTCATTTTTGTTTTAGAACCACAAAGGGATGACAGTGACTGACTTCTTAGAGCAATTTTGCTTGGTGTCTGGATCCTGTGGGAATTTATTAGCCTGCTTTGTGGCCCTTGGCCAACCCTGGTGGGACATCTAGAGAAGAACTCAATTCTGCTTTTCCCAGAATAATTGTTGACTAACTCGGTAGCACTGAAGTGTCACAGGCGTCTCTGTGTCCCCCAGAGTCCAATGATATGTGGACCCAAGGCCAGCGAGGGTCATGTTTCTGGGAATACAATGTTGGTTCTTAGAATTTATATATTTTTTCTCATGAACTTATAAAAATGTTTAAAAACAAACTCAACAACCCTGATTTTAAGAGGGAATGAACATACGCCCCATCACTTCCCTCTAGAAGCATTTTAAGCATTTAGCTTTTCAAAAAACAATCATTTCTTTTTGATGACCATAACTTCAAATACCCTGCTTACTGGGCCAGTGGTGACTCATAAATAGCAACTGATTTCAATAACTCACCCTTAGAATGTGGGTGCTTGCATAAGCCCTAGTTTATAACTGGATGAAGTGATATGCAGCAAAGGGGGGCATTTATTTGAGAGATTAAATCTAAACGCAGACACTAACAGCCATGTGTCTTCTGCTCTTAAGAGGGTTTACTGTGAAAGAGCCACACAAATGTTCCACATGCCTCTCAGCAGCAAAATGACCTTCAAAGTACTTTAACCTCATAACTGTAAATAGGAAAATGGTCCCACATATGTTAGTCCACCCCTTTCAATGTTGATCATGTGTTTTTGACATCTCAGATGTGACTGTTGCTGCCAGGCTAGAATTTAGGCTGTGTGATCATTCTCAGCTGTCCTACAATGCCTGCTTCTTGCAAGAAGTTGGCACTTTCTAGAATAGCTAAATAACCCTGGCTTATTTTAAAGAACTATTTGTCACTCAGATTGGTTTTCCTATGGTTAAAATAAGTGCTTCTTGTGAAAATTAAATAAAACAGTTAATGCAAAGCCTTTGTATGTGTTATCACTAACAATCATACTAGATATATTTTGAAGTACTAAGTTTGACATGCTCTAGAATGAAAACCCAAATGTGTCTTACAAAACATGTTCCTAACAAGGTATGCTTTACACTATCAATGCAGAAACTATGTGTTTTTCCTCTCTAAAAAACAGGATGTGTCAACATGATAAATGTTCTAAGATTAAAGTGGCAATGCTCAGATTGCCAGTCTTACCAGTTCTGGGACTCACTCTGGCCTCCTAGAAGACTGAGGGGAATATGCTGTACTTACATGTCCATGGAACCTTCCTTCCTCCTAGAATCTCAAGGATTATGAAGATTCACTGCAGCACAACATTCCGGTTGGGAAGAGAGGTTTGACACATTATTAAGGGGAAACTCATGGAAAGAGAAATGTTTAAGGTCCTGCAGAAAGTCAGAAACTGTGATGATAGTTTTCGTTTATATTCTAGTGCCCGTATTTAAACCACGCAGTGGATTTGGGATGATATACATAAGGCACTTAACACAGGAACACAGGAAATGATTGTCACTCTTGAGCTGGCAATGAAAACCAGCTTCATGGATATGCTGCCTAAAAATTAAGCTAAGGACAAAGGAAGAGGCAAAGTCCCAAAAACTAAACAAAAACTGCCTCCCTTACACCTCATAACCAGCGGATCAACCAATCAAACTACTGCCAACACAGCTAAGCCAACAACACTCAGATTGAAAGCGTGCCCCATGGTAGGGAAACTGGTGTCTGGATGTCTAACTCTCCCTTCTGTCACACTGAGATCACTTCCTTGACCCCAACCTGAAAGGTGGTACATACAGCCCCCTGCTGGAGAGACAGGGAAAGGAAATTCCTCTTACTCCAGGGAGCTGGTTAGTCCTCCCACCCATTTCCCATCTCCCTCAGAGTGAGGTCAGACTTTGCTGTGGATATTGTTTTGGAGAATTTCCACCCTCTCCTATAAAGTGGGACTGTATGGTCCAAGATGAGACATATGCTGTCAGTGCCCAGCTGAAGTCATAGATACTTTTACTGCATGTCTGACATGCCTCTTACAAGGTTTTGGGGAACTCTAAATAGTCCTAGGATGACCAGAAGATATAGTCAAGTTATTTGTGTCTTTAGTTATCAACTCCAAATAGTGGCTCTGCTAAGACTGCCACCTGTCCAACAGGAAACGGAAAGAAAACACTTCTCATTCCTGCATGCCACAAACCACTAGACAACTGGAAATACTTCTGGGTCATTACCATCCTAGGATACTTTTGAGCCGATGATCTCAAACTGACTACCTGTGTGTTCCACGCCTTTCCTCTAATTCATGCCGTTCTTTAAATGCTATGTTAAGAATGCAAAGCTATAAAAATGATCTTTTTTCCTGCTGCACCGTAAGAAGCCTTTTTTGGTTGTTCTATTAGAAAAGAATTCAAAATGCAAGCATTCAACAGATTTCCTTTGCAGGGAACAAGTCATACAAACAACTGTGTTATATAATGAATAGATTGCTTTTTTCCTTTATCCTGTATTAGTCTTAATTGATTTCCCAAAAAGGCAAATAAGAGACCAAGATACATCCTGTGGCTGTAACCTCTAGGTAAATTTCCGCCAAAAGCAATGAAAGAGTTTTCCAGAGAAAAAGCAGAAGAATCAGCCCCATTGTTCTGCAGTTGACTTAATTCTCCTTTTTATGTTTTAGAAATACCTAAGGCTTACAATTTTACAATGTATGGAGAAACAGATATGCTAACAATGAAGTTGTTGTGGGAGCCATATAGAGAAATATCAGAGGAGTTACTGAGATCAGAATAGGTCATACAGTGAAGATATTCAAAATATGGACATTGAACAGATAAAGAAGATGGTAATATTTTAATAGGATAGTGAAAAATATAGCAGATTGACAGTGACAGCAGAAAAGAACAGGAATACAGATATTTTCAGAGGATTAAAATGGTGCTGTGTACCCTCAACCCAGGCAAGTTTATCTGAGAGGTCTCTAAACATATCTCTTGCATAAAGTAGATGATTTTCCTTGGAGCTGTCATAAATACTTTATAGTTCTCTACATTAATTCATGTTGAATATTTTCCATGGTTGGTCAGACTCAAACTTAAAATAGATCTAAGAAAGGTCTCCAGGTTTGCTTTCAGTACCGTTATTCACTTCATAGCCAGCTGGGTGACGACATGGTGTGTGGCCAATTCAAGTTTACAAGGTAACCTTGCCTCAATTATCCTGGTCCATCAAATACAAATAACAAAGTGAAGGTGAGAGAACAGAATTGCAAGAAACGTGGGAGAAGCAGTTGTCAAAAAGCAAAACAAACACAAGAAAAAGAATCTGTGAGGCCACTCAGAAATGATGCCAAAAGTTGTGTGTTCTCACCCTACAGTCTCCATACACATGGGGTTCCTCGTGCTTCACAATCAGCCCCTGTAATCAGTAACCTTTCAGGTCCCGGTCATGTGGTTTCTCCAGGCAAAACAATAAACATGCATACCTTTATGTGCATCCTGCTTTTTACATATTACTTCATTATCCTGTTTACTCTACCACTTGCCTCAGCTGAGGAAAACAAACATGCTTTCATGGGCAACTGGAGATGCACTCACTTAGTTCCTTAAGTAACTGGGGAGGGAGGGTGGGAATCAATATTTAAAGATAATTCTCCTTCTTTCCTTATCCAATTTACTTCATTATTATTATTATTATTGAGACAGGGTCTCACTATGTTGCCCAGGCTGGTCTCCAACTCCCGGCCTCAAGCAGTCTTCCCACCTTGTCCTCCCAAAGTGCTGGGATTCCAGGTATGGACCACCATGCCTAACCCCATTTACTTTAAATAAGTCTTCTGAAGTGTTAATATATGTAAAAACATCTGGCAAAGAACCTAATACTTTGTAAGTGCTCAGTAATTACTAAGACCCTCTTACCCACTTCTTACTAAACTATATACATTCCAACAATCCTCCAAGTACCTCCTCTGTGATACCAAACAGGTGGCTGATATTGACAGACCAGAGCTGCTCCCTGTCCTCAATAGATCTCTTATTCCTTTAATACTAGTAATAGAGAAAGGCACTACCTAAAAGGGAAATTTCAGTCAATATAGGTTATATCTTCACTACATTTGAACCTTTCACCATAGGAGCACAGCTGTTGTGTTACATAAAGGCTGATTCCTAATGTTTGATAACACTGATCACTGTCTTTCTTTTGGCCACTGCATAAATCCTAAGTATCCTGCTTACTTAATAAAATGGTATATGTCTATTTGGAAGTGCTCCTGGATTTTTTTAAGTGTGCAAAGAAGATAAATATATGTTAGGTCAATCTGAGTTGAATTTTTGACTCAATAAAAATATTTTGCTCCTTGGACCCAGATTGGGAGGTGGCATATCTGAAATTAAGTAAGTTGAGGACTTTGCTAGGCATTCTCAGGGACTCAAGTCACACTGCAAACAATTCATTTCAAGCAAAGTGGACACTCAGCTTCAGCTACAAGATTACTCTTCCACAACAGATGGTTTCCACACCTGAATTGTGACACCACTTTTCTTGGCTGAGAACTTTGGCCTTGGTGCCACAAAATAAGATGAAGAGGCTGATTCTTGCTTTGGTGAGGTGGGAACGGCCACAGGCACTGGGGATGCGCTGACTGGTGAGGAGGCCTCTACAAAGAAGGATGGGGGAGAGGTATAGGCTGGTACCGAGTACACTGATGAAGCGTGCACATTCGTAGGTGAGGCAGCATTCACTGGCCGAGGAGGAAGAGCTTGCTTCATGGCCAGGGGTGAATTGACCTTGACTGATGACTTTTTGGGGAGGCCATCCTTTGCATCTGGAGGTTGGAAAGTAAACAAGGATGCATTGAGCTGATATGGTTGGTGCTTCATGACATCTAATGCATTGAGTGGTTTCTTCCCCTTTTTCTTGCCCACTTTGGGGGCCTGTGCAGCTGATGGCTGAGATTTGAGAGCAGCTAGTGGGTAGGAGGGGGAGTGGATAGGATTATAAGCCACAGGAGGAGGTGCTCGGACATTGGAGGAGTACTTCCAACTGGCTGGGAGAGACGGAGTGGGAGACTGAGCTCGAGCAGCGTGAGCCTGCACGGTGTCTGAATCGACCACATACTTCTCCATTCTCGACTGCCTTTTAGCAAAGAGCTGAGCTCCTCTCCCACTCATTCCTGGTAGCTCATTGGATGGTCCCACTGCACCAGGCTGAGCAGCATTGACTGTTGGTGTGGGAACTGCTGGTTTGGGTGTGTAATTCTGACTGGCTACTGCTGCTTGTGGTCCTTTGAAGGGACCAGCCAGGTTTAAAGCACTTGTAGGCTGGGCAGGAGGGTAAGAAGGCTGGGCTATTTTGATGGAGGAGACGACGGTGCCCTTTGATGGGCTGGATGTGGGGAAGGCTGGAGGTTGGGTGGGAGCCACTCCTGGAGACCAGACTGGGGAAACTGGAGTTACTGGTTGGGAGGATGAGGACTTGACTGCAGGTTTTGGAGCAACAGGAGGTGGGATCTTTTGTTTGGCAGAGGTGCTTTGCATGAAATTGCAAGCCTCTGCTCCCAAGCTGAGGTAGTCTTCTTCCGGTCCGGAATCACCTCCAGCTCCAGTGCCCCGTTTGCCTTCTGAATTTTGAAGGAGTGACAAGAGTTCAGGATTTGGGCTTACTTTGGGCTCTTTAAAAGTAAACATGGGTTTTGTCGTGCTTCTCCTTTTGGCTTCCTGCAATATTCCTGTTCTTTTTGCTGGCACTGAGATCCTCTCATCTCGGGAAGCTATTCGCTCAGATGAATCGTAAAATGCTGGCTGGGACCATGGGGCAGGCTGGGGCCATGGAGGGGGCTGTGCTGGGCCAGCAATAGGACTTGATACCCCTCTGGAGAAGGCATCAGGGGGAGGAGTGACCGCAGAGTAAGGTGGAGGTGCAGGAAAGTCAGCAATGGGACTCGTCATGTTTCGGGTTGGCGAGAAGGGGGTGGCTGGCTGGTTCACAGACCCTGGGAAGGGTTTGGCTGTTCTGTTCGTGGGGACCATCCTCTGGATGTTTGCTGTCTCAGATGCCCCACTGAAGCCATTCTGTTGGGGCACATGGCCAAGACCATGACTCACCTCGATGTAGCTTTTGGTCACAGAGCTCTGCGTTCTCACCGACTCTTCCTCCTTTCTTTGGTAAGAAGTCATGGTTCTCAGGCCATCTGTCTGGGCAGCATCTTGTTCTCTGCTTGGCATTCCACCTGCCTTGTCCTCTTCTTTTTGGGCTGTGATCTGATCCATTCTCTCCCTCCGCTTGGCGAACATGAGGGCTCCCTTGCCTGTGGTGTCTGGTAACATCTCCATCTTGTCCCCTCTGTTCAGTTTCTTTTCAATGTCCACCAGTCCAGAATCCCAGTCAAAGTTCACAGCTTGTGTGCTGTCGTCAATGTCAGACAGTAACTCTTCATCCACCTCTGACTCACTTGCACCAAGAAATGCTACTTCACTTGTATCCTCCTTGTCACCGTCTTCCTCCTCGTCCGCCTCTCGCTCAAGCTCGCCAGTACCGTAGCTAACTAGGGTGTATTTCCTGGCCCTCCGACGACGCTTCTTAAACATCAACACCCCCTTGGAGTTGGGGTTGGGAGCATCTGTTAGAAGAAGGGCAATGCTTTTGCATTTAGATTTTGCTTCCTTCACTTGTTTTTCTGACAGGCTTTCACTCCTCCTGAGCCCTAGGGAAAGCAAAAAAAAAAAAAAAAAAAAAACAAATTATATTGAGCTGATGAGTTCAAGGAAGACACCATAGCAGCTCAGAAATGAACTCTCCTGGGGGAAAATAAATATGTAAAAAATTACAATTGGGTACTGAAGTTTGAAGGAATCCAACTCATTTCTCTTTTTTATTTCTCTTAACACTTTTTCTTCTACAGTAATATACTCTCTATATAACACTCAACAATGCCATATTCTATTTGTTTACATAAAAAACATTTCATATATGCTGATTAGAATATATGTTTCATACACTTGTTTCTCTAGAGATACGTCCACTTTAATAATAAAAGCTGGCTATTGCACGCCAATTAATAGGATAAAATTAGAATAAAGAAGAACATAATCTAAAGACATAATATTTTCTGAAAAACAAGATAAGACCTGCCTCAGACTTCTATATTTTAAAATGAAATGTCAGCATAAAACTGTTTCCAGGTATCTTAAAAAGGGACGAATGTCCCAAGAAGATGTTTTAAACTTTTCTTACGTGTTTTAATGTAATGAACTTAGCTATTGAGGTTTTCTTCTTTCTCTTTTTTCTTTTTTTACCCTGACAACTGCCCCAAATCTTTTGATTTACAGCTATTAGATTAATGTAAGTTCAAAACATTGAATTAATCATTGAGGGTACTGAATCAATAATAGTTATAATTAATTCAAAATATGGCATTATTATAAATACATAAAGAAACTCTAACTACAAAGTTTTCTAGACAGATTTGTTTGTAAATGTATTGCTATTTTGGAAATACAATGTTACTTTAACTGAAGCAAGAATAAGGGTAAATCTTGGAGAAATGTAAAAATTGACTTGTGACCCTTTTAACTGTGCAAAAACTGATGGAGAAATTAAGTTATTTAAAACAAGACTATGATGGTTATAAAATAAAAATATTTAAAATTTTCCTTATTACTATTATAAAAATAAATTGGTGACAAATTAATTTATAGCAAATAAACATATAGCATCTATAATTTATAATTTATAATTATATCATGTTTTCAATGATAATGAGTCCCCTAAATTTTTTAATTCCTTAAAATAGTTAAGTGGAAAATTAAGGAAAATGTCTTGACTATTTTATGATTGAATATTAGCTCTTTTTGTCACTGGAAGAAAGTAAGACTTAATAGCTAGTTTTTTGAAAATAAAATATAATCCAAGGAAATAATTTATAATAAGATTACAGACATTTCCTGGTGATCAAATTTTATAGAGAGACTATAGTTATAAGTGTGGTTATTACTAAATATGATTCCCTTTTTTGACTAGTGTTATACAACTTATTAAATTGACAGTCACAGTTGCACAGTTGCTGCTAACTTCACGGCCAACATGTAAAGTATGTGAATGGTGTCTCAATACTCTTGCTTAATATGCTATAAATGTGAAGATGGCCTACAGATGCATAAAGTATAAGGAATGATTAACAGCACTTGCCAATAAAGCTACAAATGGTTATGCTAAAAATATGCTTTGAAAGAAATAACAATAGGTTAGAAGACTTAATATCATACTTTGAATAACCGAACGCATTGCTGTTGTTTATCACTTATAGTCAAGGGCCTTTGCCTGTCAGCCTTTACATCCTCAAATAATATTCCAAAATTAGTTTTAAAAAAATACATGAAAGAAAACAACAGAAATCATAACACCTAACTGTAATTCTTATCCCTATTCTCCTTTCTGTCTTCACTACCCTGGGTAAAACAAAATGCCATACAAAGCATTGAATTTAAATATATTTTATGTTTGGGGACATTTAAATGCCTCCACATGGCACTGGAGACTGACATCTGTGTCTAGAAGGTAGATGAAACACTTTGCAGTCTAATGAAGACTTACAAAACGGAGAGGATCATGTAACTGCTCAGTATACACATGTCCTTGTCTGTCAAGCTCACTTCTGCAAGCATCATCAAGCTGCACAATGATTTTTTTCAAAACGAGGATCTGTTTTTGATATCAGTAGTAGAGCTTTTATTTTAAAGACACCTCTCAGTAGCAGACTCACAGTTTTTGACATTTAAACTGAGTCCACATGACTTCAAGTGCTTTCTTATGCTATTTTACCACGAAATATTTCAACTTTCTGAATCAAACTGAATAGGTATATTGACAATATTATTTTCTTTAACAGTTCCTATGCCTTTGGGAATAAAAGGAAATTCATGAAAAATGTTTCAATCTATATGAAGTTCAAACTTATTGTTTCCCATTTAGAAACTGGTATTCTCCACAATGTCACATTTGTGATTTTGTGCATTAATTAAATATTTCTTTAAGCCAGTAGGAAACATAAGAAAAACCTTGCTGAAAAATTCATGCAAGCAAAGAAGTAGCAAAATGCCCTGAACTCCCAAGCCCCTTCTGACAGCCCAGGCAGGACTTACGTGCATGCCGTGCTCGGTGCTTGTGAGGTCTGCTGTGATCCTTTTCTGAGCGTGGGTCTTCTCCCTGCTCTGTGCCTTCTGATGAGATGGCAAAGAATACCAGAGAAGGAGGTGCTTCTGACGGCCCTCCTTCCACTGGAGAATCCACACACCCCTTTCCTGCCTGAAGCCTGCACCCTTCTGTCTTCTGCCTGTCAGAGCAGTCGAGGATCACTTCCACCTGGGGCAGTCCCGCAGCTCCTGCTTCACTTTCCTGGATCACTCTCAACTCTCTGCCACTGGAGATCTGGATTATCTTGCTGGACCTCAGGAAAGGGTCTGCTTTCTCACTGATAGGGATCGAGTTTATGTGGACAACTCTGTCTTGTGACAAGCTAGGGTCTGGGTCAGGAGACTCAGATTTTTCAGCTCCCGGGAGAGCCACTAAAGGGTCACTCGTGCCCTTATGTCTCTCCTGGGAAAGGGAGAGTTGCAGCTCAACCACAGGGCCGGACTGTTCTACTTCTGCCTTCTCCCTTAAGATCAGCTCTTCTGCCATGCGTCCTCTTTGGGAGTCAGGCATTTGGGGAGCCCTTTGGTAGCTCAGGCCTGTTTCTTCCTTCAAGTTCCCTGCACAATCGGGACTACTTCTTTGGTCCTCAGCTAGGGAAACTTCACTCTTGACAGGGGCAAGGAAGAACTCTGTGCACTGGGTCTTTGTGGCTGGTCGAATCTGCAGGGTGGTACTTTCCACATACCCTCCATGTGTGAGATGCTCGTGGTTTTTGTTTTCATTTTCAGACATCAAAGCCTCACTTATTCCACTGGATGGTCTGCGCACAGAAAAATCATTCCAGACACAAGTCAGACTGTGTTACGCCTGCCAAAGAACTTCCTGACACTTTTGTGATGTCTAATACATGATATAGTCAAAACGTATTCTTCTAAATGTCAATTGTAACATATTTGAAAACAGAAGGTGGCAACATGTTTATATTGCAACTTAAAGAGATATCAAATACACTTTGTTAAAAGTGCAACAAAACTCTTACACAAGATTGTGAAACCTGAATCCATCCTAAATTCAGCTTTCATTTTTAAAAAGCACAGTTTGTAGCTACATGGATCCCGTTAAGTACTTGGAATCTGGGTATCTCGAATAATGGGTTTGCTACAATATGACAAAGCATTTCAATGTCTTACTGACTAAGTTTTGGTCTAGACATTATGAAGTCACATAGTCACATGTCCAGCAGCTTTAGATCAATCTTAACTTACAGATAACTCAAGTAATCCTTTTAGAGGTTGTGCTTTCTTGAAAGGAATGAAATAGAAGCTGTTTTTTAAGCCCCAGTGAGCATGTGTTTTGTAATAAGTGGACCCAGCCCAGTACTCTTGTGTAAAGAGAAATCCTTTCCATGCTGCAATGAATCATTAAGTCATGGGATATTTATAATCTGAGATGTCTCCCTTTTTTCTATTTGAACCGGTTTCTTGGAGCTTTCTCTTTTTAGAATACCTGAAGCCAAACTGTTCCTTTATCTCTCAGCTAAGGAGCCTAGAGCTGTACACCACAGTTCTTTGATTTTGACCTTAACTGTTCTCAGTTGTTTGTGCAAATTTGGGTTTGCGAGGGGACGCAATGTCAGTTTAGTAATTACATAGCTTCTTTCTGAAACTATAATTGTTTTTAGAAGTATTATTCACAGAACAGCTGAAGGAAATGTCTTCATTTTTTCTATTTGTAAATTTTTTATTTTAAAAGCAGCATAATTATCTTTGCCCCTTTCCTCCTTCCTTAAAAGATAGTTATGACTAATCCAGGGAACATCAACTGAAGTGCCTGAGCTTCTACTTGTATTCTACTCAAAGGAATTTACCATAGAATTTATGTGGTAGTGGAATTTCAGACCAATGCTCAAAATACTTACTCCTAACTTTGCTTTCAACTGCATTTGGCAAAACGAAACAAAACATAACAAAAACAAACTAACTGTTAAACAAAATGCAGCTTTCTCTATATGCAAGTAATTGGAAAAGGTTCCTGGTAATACAATATCTATACAACATTATAATATAGTATTTAAAAAGCATGATATTAGCAAATTAGATCATTATGTAGAAAATGTTACATATACTGTTAAACTGAATTTAAGGGTATCAAAAGGTCAGAGAGTTTTAATTTAGGAAGTCCCTGTGATGAAATTAGATTAAATCACTTTAAATTATGCCAGCAATCAATTGTGAAGCTGAGAAGAGGATAGCTTCAATTCATGCCAGCCTTGTAGACTAGAATTCAGACAAATGGCCAGATAAATATTAACATTTATCAGCAGTTGAAGTAAATGTATAGACATGAGTAAAAATCATAAAAGCATGAGAGACTAAAGCTTTATGCCTTAAAACATTCATTTCCCTTCAGTCTACATAGGTACTCAAGTCCACAATTTATGTGTCAGAATTATAGAATTTTAAAAATCTTATCATTTTAACAAAATTTAAGATAATAGATATGGAATGTTAAAGGAGTTATTTTAAAATAGTCTCACCTAGCTATGTCTGGGCAATAGTTCAGGAAAAGTAAAAACACTTGTCTTCCACTGACAGATGACAGTGATATGAGTGAGAGAAATATTTACTGCAGGAAACAATATTCAGATATTCCAAGTGGTGGTCATGGTGGTGATGATGATGATTGTTTTTGACTTGATTTTCAATTGAGATTCCATTTTGAATCCTGCTAATTAATTATTTATTTTGTAAATTTTTTATTTCATAAATTTGATTATGTATTTTATAAACTTATTATCTCTTCATAATATGAAGGAAGGACTCTAAGACCTTAAACACTGGGTTTGATGGGTAAATATTTAGATAGAAGATTATAAGAATAATTCTGGATATCCTTTATTGTCTCAAGATTTTGGCCACAGTGATCTCATTTTTATCCCAGAACAGAATCATACCGAATGATCAGCAGATTCTGTAACAGAATCATACCGAATGATCAGCAGCGTTTCTGCAAAGTTGAAGAAAAACCTGGAGGGCTTTAAGGTTCGTCTTGAGATATCCTCTGACATCTTCCTAAAATCTGCTCTCCAGGAAACCAGAGCTTTCCTTTCTGGATTCATTATAATGCAATACTCAGGGCTTCTATTGCAAAATCAGTATGGACTATACTGTGATTTGTACACCAGAAAAATGTCAATGCTGAAGTTTTTTTTTGTTATTGTTCTCATTGTTTTCTTTCTTTTTTTATGTTTAAAGGTTTCTTCTATATTGTTAAACAACTACATGGGGATGGTGCTATTTGAAGAGACTGAATTACCAAATGACTTGTGTTGGTAGTGCAAAAGCCTTATTCTAATCATCTGCTTTTGTCCATCCCCAAATATTGGTTTTACTGGAGAAATCTGGCTACTTGTAAGTTTTTGTTGTTATTTCTCTTTTCCATCTCTTACACATCCTCTTTTAATGAAAAATTGTATAGTTGAATGGTCTAATATTTAAACATTTTTAATTCATCTGTGCATCTGGTAATTACAACTGAGTGATTCTGATCCATCACAAAATCACGACCTATCAAAGAAATATTAAGTTATGCTCAATATACTGAGCTTTCCAAGGAAAGAGCCTAAAATCCCTAAGATTTTCAACAAAGTGCCTGAAATAATGATTTTCAACTTAATTCTCAATTAACCAGAAAGTACGGTTGAATAGAATTGACTATTTTTCAAACAGTGGTGTTTCTGTTTAATTATACTAACCTTCTACAAAGCACCTCTAATTTCTCTATAAATGACAAGTTACATATGTAGTAGAAGCTGTAATCATTCCTACGTAGCTTCAAGAGAAAATACATATTCCAGCAAATTCGTTGTACCTTTTGATGAGCATTTGGAGAGAGTCTGTTATGCTTTCCATGAGCTTGATGACTTCAGGGTAGGTGAGATCTGCACAAGGGTTGCCATTGATAGAAACCACTTCATCTCCCTCACAGAGCCCAGACCCTGAGGCTTTGCTCTGATTTCGAATCTGAGTAAAAAAAGGAGACACAGCAGAATGAAATAATCAGATCTGTCAAGTGTAACACCAGCCCTGATTTTTAATTCACCTGTTAGCCTGTAAGAACATTTAAACACTTCTTACCACGCTATGAACACAAATACAGACACACATTTTATCATGTACTATAATATCAACATTTAATTCATAGTATTGTAAGTAAACAGGAAAAAGGAAAGTAAATCAATGTAAAGATACCAGAATAAAAGAAATAAAAAACAGAGAATGAGAAAGGATGTTAGAGTTTACATTGATTAGACATTAAAAATAATTATTCAAGTCAGGCACAGCAGCTGATGCCTATAATCCCAGCACTTTGGGAGGCTGAGGCAGGTGGATCTCCTGAGCTCAGCAATTCAAGATCAACCTGGTCAATATGGCAAGATCCTTTCTCGAAAAAAAAAAAAAAATGCAAAAATTAGCCCAGCATGGTGGTGCATGCCTGTGATCCTAGCCACACAGGAGGCTGAAGTGGGAGGACTTCTTGAGTCCAGGAGGCGAAGCTTGCATTGAGCCAAGATCACACCACTACACTCCAGCCTGAAGGACCCTGTCTCAAAACATCATTATTGGCTGGGCACGGTGGCTCACGCCTATAATCCCAGCACTTTGGGAAGCCGAGGCCAAGGCGGGCAGATCACGAGGTCAGATGTTCGAGACAAACCTGGCCAACATGGTAAAACCCCGTTACCCACTAAAAATACAAAAAAATTTGCCAGGCATGGTGGCGCATGCCTGTAATCCCAGCTACTTGGGAGGCTGAGGCAAGAGAATCGCTTGAACCCGGAGGCAGAGGTTGCAGTGAGCCAAGATTGTGCCACTGCACTCCAGCTTGGGTGACAGAGTGAGACTCTGTCTCAATAAAACAACAAAAAAACTATTATGATGATTATTCCACATTGTAAGGTTTTACTCCAGTGAGAAAGTGACCTCTTGCATTAAAATAAATTTTAAAATCCTTCCCATTGCCAAGATGAATTGAAACGTCATGGCTATAAGAAGGAGACATATGACAGGTGAGATCATATGCTTGTATGAGGAGAGAGCTGTACAGCTAAATGGACTGAAAAAACCACCCCAGTATAGTGGGGCACCAGGGAGCCTGGATATTAGGGAGTATGTCAAAGAGAGAAATGCTTCATTGAAATCAGCTACTCCAGGCATGGTACTAAGCAAACTTTAGCAGAAAACAAAGAAAAAAGAGATTATTTTGCAGAAAGTAAAAGCATCCCTGCCATAAGCACTGCATCATATTCTGGTGAAGAAAGATGTGGAACAACAACTGAATAAAAAGCTAGAAGGGAACTTAAATCCTGGAAGAAGAGAAACCCAGAGGAGTAGAAAAATGGCAGAGGGTTCCCATCAGCTCCTTAGTGAGGAATAACTAGGGATTGATATCCCGTATAATGATGATTATGGTAAAGTGTTTTGCTGGTTATTCTCTCTCTGCCCTTCCAGGTCCATTCTCTACCCTCTCCTGTGTTGCAGGGAAGACTGGCCTCTAGAGACCACGTTGGCTGGGCTCCCTTGCACTCTGGCTCCTGGTTGGATTTGGTCAACAGGAAGCACCAGTAAGAAAGAGATCAAAGAGCAACGGGAACAAAAGATTAGGTCTGTGCTCTCCCTGGTGGACCTGCTGGGCCATGGTTTGGCAGTGGCTCTGTTCTTCAGTCTAGCTCCTGTCAGCCTGCCCCTCATCATCACCTTAACTCTTGTTACGTTCCAACAACACACCTTATCTTTTTATACCTTTGGGCCTACAGGTGGTAGTAGCTTCTTGCTCTTAATCTCTGGGTTTCTGGGTGCTTCATTATTTGCTGGTTCCCTTAAAACTACTTTTATTCTCTGCATTACACTCTCTTGAATTCTTCGAGCATGTCACCTATTTCCTGCTGGAGCCCTAAATGATACTAATGTGCTTAGATTTCATTTTATGAGTTCAATAGTTTTCAATGAACCACATATGACCACCCTACGGTCTCATATTTAAGAATACTTTATGATGTTTTTCTAGATTTTTTCTACCAAGCACTATTCCTTTTTATTAAAATGAAGCTTCTGAGTCGAGAGAGGTGAAAACGAGGTAAGCAGCACTTCTTGAAGGATGTTTTCATCACTAGGCTTATTTCTGACAGGGCACAAAATGTATTTCAATTTATCTCTAAAAGCTGCCCACCAATTCCTGCTAAAGTCTTAAATTATAATTCATATATTAACTGACATAGGTTTAAAGTTTATATTTGCAAGTGCGTTTTAAATTATGCCCTTGAAAGCAAAATATTACCTTTATGAGTCAAGGCAACAGCATTATTGAAATTTGAAGTGATTCAATTAGTTTTGTTCTGGCAGGGTCTATCCTTCTATTGTCGTAAACTATAATCTATAGAAAGCCTGCTCTGTTTCTGACAAATCAATATCATTACCTCTTGGGGAAGAATATACTAATTTATTGGAAAATATGAAACAAATTCAATATTTCAAGATTATAAGGAAGTAACAAAAGTAATGAGAAAGAGAATTTAACCTAATTTTGAAAATATTCACTTAGCTATTAAATATATTTGTTTTATTTTGTCTTGCATGAAATATTTAAAAGATCACAAGAAATTTTTAAAAGTAAAGGGTTAGAGGGTGTCAGGGCTAGAGTCATTCACATTTCAGTTATTGAAATTTATTTATAATAAAAATTATGTAGGTAACAAAGCATATTTTTGAGGCATAAAGTCATTCATTCAATGGAGTCAGAGATACCAGGATTTGAACAGAAAATTCACACTTTGGAGAACCAAAGAAGTTTTATTTTGATAAAACAGAGGTGTCGTTATACTCTGTACCCCGGCAAGGCCCAATCTTAGGTAGAAGTTCTCTTTATCAGCCAGGAGTTGTCTGAATTTTAAACTGGGATTGCAGAAGAAGATGCAAAATGATTCTTTAAAAATAAATAATCTCCCAACTTAATAGAGCTGTCTGTTATCTAAACACGTGTTGCTTGATAGGAAAAGTGCAGTTCATCATCCTGCTTGTCAAGTTGGAGCTTTTAATGGTATCTAAATAAGCCAGTGCATCATGGTAAGAGTCATTAGCATTCCTTCAGAGAACACATTCTGAGATCAACATTTACAATCAACGGCTGAGATTGCGTTTCACTGACCTTCATCAGAACAACAAGAAATCTTTTTCCCTCAAGAACCTTGTTATGTATGATAGCTTTTCTCGTCACTTAAATTTTTCCGAAGGACTATGCTGTCTCCATTTTTTATAGAACTATTCAACCAAATAAAGATGATATGACAACCAAATAAATAAAAATGGTATGACAGGGTCTCATAGTAGCATCAAGAAGGATAAACATGTATTAGTGTACCTAAGATCCTTACCTTCTATTGTGTGTAATTATGCAATTTTATAATTTGTATAAGTGTACGTATTTATGTGAGTAAAGATTCTAACACTTGGAAGTGTTCTTATTTATGAAAATGAAAGACACTGTGCATCACAAAATTAAGTTTAGACCACAAATTATTAGTACTGATGATACCAATTCTTTATCAGTGAACTTATCAACCAGTCTCCTTAAGCCGTTAGTCTTGGATTCACAAAATACATGTAGTAGTGGGAAAGAGTACCAACTCTGAAGGAACAAAATACAGGTTTCAATTGTGTTCCTCCAATGCTTACTGCCTGTCTGAGCTTAGATGAGTTACGCTACCATCCTGAGCTTTAGTCTTCTAAAGTGCTAATGAATTTTATTAGTCTAGATGTTTAATGAGAATTAGAAATAATGTGTGCAAAGTTCCATGATGAACCTACAGCTCAAAGAGGTGCTCAAGAAGGGACTGGTGAATTCAAATGTGTTGGCTTCCTACTTACACATACAAACACATAAACACACATGAAGGAAACATGACAAGTGAAAAGAGAAGCTATAAAACATGTATGAAACATCCGCATTTATTTTCCAATTTTATCCAGATATTTGACATCATCTCTTCATAATATAATGTTCTATCTCGCTCCATAATTACACATTTCATAACTGAAACGTGGAAGAAGACAAGCTTGTTTGTCATATTTCCCAGCACAAGTAATAATACAAATGACTAAATATTAGTGGTTTGTTTTCCTTGAGCATTTACTATGCCATGTCTTTTACATCCTTATATTATTTATCTCTACAAAATCTCTATTAGAAATATGTGTTCTCACTTGTACATGTAGAGTTGGACTGCCATTACCTTCATTTTATAAGTAAGAAAATGTTGAATCAGAAAATGTAGGTACTTTGCAAAGCTAGAACCAGAATTTGAATCCAGGAAATGTGACTCCAGAGCTTGTGTTTTTACCCACCACACAAATTACCTCTATGAACTGCCTAAACCATAGTCTAAATTCTCGATCAGGGAGCCCTAGAGTGAGGAGAGAAAAAGGAGAGGACAGTAGTGTAACAGTAATTGGCTGGGTGGGGAGGAAAGCTGGGAGGAGAGGGAAGGGAGGGGGCAGAAGAAGTGAAAGATTGCCTGGTTAGTCTATAAACCAGTGGTTGGGAAAGACCCGTTTTATTTTGTTTCATTTTCCTTCTTCTTCTTCTATTATTTTAGAGTTATATTTAAAATGTTTTTAAAGATTAAAAAATAGACGATATTATGACTCAATGTGTTACAAATTCAAAATAGGGTATAATTATCTGTCATAAACTGTGACTTGACACAAAATAGCTGTGTGAGCAGGTGATGTAATTCCTTTCCTTTGAAAACACTCCTTTAGAAACTGCATTCCACATATAATATATTAGACCCTGAGTGAGTTCTTACCCTGAAAATATTGTATTCCTTTTTAGTGTCTCCCAATCTAATCAGATCACATAACTAAGAGATATTGGTAATGTCAATAGTTACCAAATGCCATACTATGTTTCATTGCTTACTACCTTTTTATTTTGTTTTGTTTTGTTAATTTTTATTTTAGGTTTGGGGGTACATGTGAAGTTTTGTTACAGAGGTAAACATGTGTCACAAGGGTTTGTCATACATATTATTTCCTCACCAGGGAATTAAGTCCAGTACCCAAAAGTTATCTTTTCTGCTCCTCTCCCTCCTCCCAGCCCTCCCTATCAAGTAAACTCCTGTGTCTGTTGTTTCCTTCTTTGCATTTGTAAGTTCTCATCATTCAGCTCCCACTTATAAGGGAGAACATGCAGCTTTACCTTTAAAACATTTTTTATTTTAAACTGTTATTATGGGGTATGTGTGATATTTCGATACAAGCATATAATGTGTAATGATCAAACCCAGGGCAATTAGGGTATCCATCACCTCAAACATTTATCATTTCTTTGTGCCAGGAACATTTCAATTCCACTGTTTTAGTTATCCTGAAATATACAATAAATCATTGTTAACTATAGTCATCTTATTATGCCATAGAATACCAGATCTTACTCTTCTAGCTGCATTTTTGTACCCATCAACCACCTCCTCTTTACCCCCCTTCCCTCTCCTTCATCCTTCTCAGTCTCTGGTAACCACCATTCTACTCTCTATCTCTTTTATCCAAAAGAGGGGTAATAATGAATGCTGGCAAGCATGTGCAGAAAGTGGAACCCACATACCCTGTTGGTGGGAATGCAAATGAGTACAGTCACTATGAAGAACCATATGGAAGTTCCTCAGAAAATTAAAATTAGAACTATCCAACAATCCCACTGCTGGCTGTATATTCAATATAAAGGAAATCAGTATATTGAAGAGATATCTGCATTGCCAAGTTTATTGCAGCATGAGTCACAATAGCCAAGATATGGAATCAAACTTTGTCCATCAATGGATGAATGGATAAAGAAAAAGTGGTGCATGTACACAATGGAATATTATTCAGTCATAAAAAAGTGAAATCCTCTCATTTGCAACAACATGGATGAAGCTGTAAGGCATTATTTTAAGTGAAACAAGCCATGTGCAAAAAGATAAAGATCACTCATTCTCACATGTGGAGCTTACCATTTCTTGGTAAGCTTCTTTCCATGCCAGGAAAGATTTATTTTACCAACACTGAGTGAAACTGGAAAATTAAAACTCCTCTGGGAAATTTAACAACATTATTTACATTTCATAGACTAAATCTGAGAAGACTTTCAGCTATGCTAATTTAGTCATGTGAATAAGTAATTCTTGCCAAATTAAAAAAAAAAAAACAACTCAGTTTTCTCTTCTGTTGTTCTCTCTTCATTTTCAGGTCTTCCAAGACTGACTAGAAAGCAGGTATCAGATTTGAGTTCTCATCAACCTAATACATAATACATGAACAATTTTGTGGTATATGTATGGCATATCAATCACGCCAGCTTGCTATCAGGAGAACTAAATTTTTTCTCAGGAGCTGCATTTTCATGTATAATTCACTGACAAGTCCTGTTGGAAAATGTCAGAGTGAGTGATAAAAACAAGACAATCTCTTTCTTAAATTCCACTATTATAATCTATGGAAATAGATGGAAAAGAGAAAATTAGCATAAATTTGCCTATCATATGTGGGACTATTCTCAATCCATAGGCTGACGTCTCAGGGACCTGGCAATAACTAAGAGAGGATGAAAGAAATGATCGTGATCTCAGGCAACAATTACAGTTTCAGATGTTGTTGTTGTTTGACAGAAAATGTAGTCTACATGATCTAGCAACTCTTTCAGAAGCTCCAGGCTTTCCTCAATTTTCCACTTCAGGCGTTTTGCAAAACTACCTCATACCCATAAAACAAAGTTTAATAAGCATTCCCTCACCCCAACTGGCTCTTAAACCAAAGCCTTAGGTAAGTCTGTATTCTTCAACTAATACCAGAGGAATGGTCAGAGGATGCACAACAAGATGATAGTTGCTAAGATTTTAGAAATAAGTTCAAAATTCCACTTTTATAGGGCTTGCTATCCAGATCCTAAACACCAGCTTCAGCCCTTGGGGTTCAGCTCTACAAATCATGTGTCTAAATAATGAAAATAAAGTTAAAACTGTATATTTAAATCAGGTGACAGGTATACATTCAAATACACCATGATTTTTTATTATTCTACACTAAATACCTCAATTCAAGCTCATAACCTTCTCTCATGTTGGGTTTTGGTTTGAACATCATGACCTTTCCTCCTCTTGTCACCAAGATATTTCCAGACAAAAAAGTTTTCTTTTGGATGACTGTCTTTACCCTCAGAAACCAAGTCACCATAAAAGTAAAAAGTATTCATGGTAGCCACCCTGGAAACGTTCCTGGAGTAATAACTATCTTTGACAGCAATGAGAGCCCTAATCTGTGGGGCTGCATACTTAAGAATCTGCATACCAAAGTGATTCCACAGGCAGAAATGATGCTGCAATATAATTGCTATGAGCTGTTATAAAGCAGCCATCGTGATGCTAGAAAACTAAGTACAAATATGGAATGGTATTTCTGCTTTTCTTTCTTTCCTAAGAATGTAAGCATACTAGCTCTTTCGGGCAAACATTGATAGATCAACAGCAAAGTTAATACAAACGCCAAAGTTAGGGAGTAAACGCCATATTCTAAAATACATGAAAATCTTAACAACAACAAAAAGGCTCTGAAGATTGGGGGCCTCTCTGAAGGTGTAAAAAACTCTCATATGCTCAATGGGACTTAATGCCTCTGCTCTATTCAAGTAAAATAATGGACATTAATAATAACGATCTGCAGACATTTAAAATGTTTACATGATTTTTAGCAGACTGATTAGATGCAGAAAAACATGTGATACCTTTAGGAAAGAGTACACCCCAAATAGCTAAAAGAGGTTCTGATATTTAAAGCTATAATTGAACCTGAGGCATTTCTGCATTAATAAAGTAAAGGAACTGAATTAGAATCAGTACTGGAAGGTCCCAGATACCTTGCTTGTATTGCCATTTTTTCTGAAACTGTTCAGTTTCAGATATAAACGTCTTATGTACCCAACAAATATACCTGTCTGCAACATCCTGTTTTTCCATAGCTCTAGGCATCTGAAATTTTCCTGTATTTGTCTCAACTAGACGAATCAGTTTATTCTTCTAGTTTTCTCATGAATAAAACTACGGATAAAGAAGATATATGTACAATGAAAATTTTTCTCCAAACGACAGGAGTAGAGACTTTTAAAAAATTCATAAGTTCTATTATTTTGCTATGGATTTGCAGCTATTAGTAAACTGAAGATCTTATGTTAATTCTGTCACCCAACTCATGTGGCTTTGAGCAAAGTATTTAAGCTCTGAGGGAATCATTTTCCACATCTCCAGATTCCTAATTCTATACTTTGTCAAGCAATGATACATATAAAATACATACATATATGATACATAAGATACATTCTTTCCATTTTGGAAAGAATCTTATAAAATTGTCATCAAAGTTTTAATTTAAAAAGTATCAACCGTAAAAATTTATAAATATTTTTCATAGTTTTAATTCAAGA